CCGTGTGACTTCTTCCTCTTCCCCAAGATGAAAATTCAGCTAAAGGGAAGGAGATTTGAGACGATAGAAGAGATTCAGGCAGAATCGCAGATGGTGCTTGACAGGCTGACAAAGAAAGATTTCCAGGGATGCTTCCAGGCTTGGCAGCGGCGCTGGGATCGTTGTGTTCACTCCCAGGGGAACTACTTAGAGGGTGATGGATGAATTTAATACCTGAGATAAGTGTACGGGTTTTTATACGCGCAGTCTCGAAACTTTCCGATCGCACCTCGTAACTGGTGAACCAAGTACGAGGTTGCGATGCATCTGAAGAAAAGATTATGTCATTCTAATATTTTTCTCATGTTAATATTTTGTATAATTTGTCCTCTTCACTAAATTATTTTATAATAATTTAGTCAATGACCTTTAGATGGCATGGCGTGGACCGCGCATTTCGAAAATGAAAGAAACGTACCGTATTTTTATTGGCGAGCATGAAGCGAAAAGACCACCTAAAAGACGTAGGTGTGTTTCGTTGGATAATATTAAAATGGATTTAAGGGAAAACAGGTTAGAAGATTCGATTTGTCGCGCTCAGTATAGGGTCCAGAGCGGGCTTTTGTGCGGGCTCGGGGACCATAAAAGTGGGATTTCTTGACTGCCTGGAGACTATTAGCTTGCCAAATATTCCACTCCAAACAGTTGTACATGAACAACTGAAGATAAACACCGAAAGCTTTCCACAACTTACAAGAAACATAGCACATTTCAAACGTAACTGAAAGTTTTTCATGGCAGTGTATAATTTTCATTAATTCGCCACAAATAAGTATCTTATAAAGTGTAAAAAGATTCGAGATTTTTTACCCGCTCATTTAGGAAATTTAAGTAAACTACAAATAAAAGTTTCTGGCTTATTAAGATAACGCGTTCATGGTCTTGAAGAAATTGAGCAACGAAGCGAATTATTTTTCTCATCCCACAGGCTTATATATTTGTCCTTTGACGAGGCAAAACATTATCCTCTGGACTCCAAATATTATAGCAACATTCACTTTTAAACATCTGTTGTGTACCATATTGCAACTCCGTATAAAGAACGCGTATTACATCACTGTTATCCCTTATAAATACTTTAAAATTTCCCTCTTCTTTTTTCTGTGATGAAAGAAAATGCTTATATAAGTTTCTATATCCCTTGCCAGTATTTCCACTTGGCTGTATGGAAATTAAGGAGGATCGAGACGGAAGTCACACAAACGTGCGTAGTTTTCTCCATACCTCAGTGCAATGGAACGCTGTCACCCTCCGTATCAGGCCCCAACAGATCGTCTGGCGATGAATTAACCGCATTTTAATATCGGTCCCACTTTGCCTTTTGCACGGCCCAAACGTAACAATACTTTATTAGAAAATTGGCTGGGAATCTTAATTTCGAAGTCACTGGCTCTAGTTCAAGCGTGTCTGCTTAACCTTTCAAAGCACAATTGTATCTTATGTACCACATCCTCCAACACAGACTGACACTGCATTTCAACAGAATCTATTTATGGAATTCGTATAATCTCAGAATAAGCCGCTATTTCTTTTCTTAAAAATTACCAAATTAATAGTTGTGTTTCATTTTAGGTAAAGACTGAATTATTAAATATTATTTACCGAACTTATATGCAATTTTATTAATTTTCTTAAATGCTCATTTCTGTGCTGTATCTGTAATTGGCCATCAGGCTGTTGATACAGAACACTAATAATAAAGAATTGAATTGAATTGGATTAAACTCGTATCTTCATTATTAATCGCTCCCATTTTATCTATATCCTACTCGTTCTCTTTGGTTCATCCCTTCCTATTCTCGTATTTCTTTCGTTTTTCGCCTCGTATTCCCTTATTTTACAATTCAATCGTGGTTTCTTTCGTATTCTCTTATTTTATTCCTGAGTTGTTTCTTTCCGTCTTATTTTCTGATTTCGTTACGACATTCTCAATTTCTTTACAACTTTATTCCCTTTCTTATTTCCTTCTACGTAGCTTCTTTCTGAGTTTCGTTTTCATTGTTAATTTTACATTTCTTTCTTTATTTTACACTTTTTTACTTCTGTAATTGTTTCACACATGCCTAAATCCAGTACGTCATTAATTCATTCTATCCTTCATTGCGTACCATAAGTTTTAATTTCCCTTCTCTAATCCTCCATTCCTCAACGACTGGTCTAAAATCACGACTATTATTATGTACAAGTTACATTTCACAAAAATAATCAGCATTACAAAAATGAAATTGCTGTTTAAAGCGTATTGCTGAACTATGTAGACATTTAACATTCCTTTACGTAGTTTACGATGAATCCTAATTACAACAAACAGTTACAATCAAATTTTCTGATTCATGCCACTAGAACACGGCACCAAAAATTACATGAGAACATAATCCACATTGTGTTCCTTCGCCCTTCCGTCCCACACCTTCCTATCCAACGCTCGAAGTCGCGAGGGAAATTACTACAGTGGAGAAGCTAGTTTCTGCCAAGTCTTCATAAAGTTCAGTGCTGCTTGGTTACATTGACGATGTCCTGGTTACCGATTTAGTCCTTCCGAAAGCACGCGTAATGGAACCGTGTGGGAGTTACGAAGACATGTAGCAGCTACTCCTATAGAATGCATGAGATCGGCGAAGCAATACAGTGTCGCCTGCAAGGGGGGAGGAGGGGTAACATTACCTAAGTTAGCATGTAGTTAAATTCAAGTTTATTGAGGGTGAATCTCCTCTGGGCTCCGGCAGATGGCACATTTGTATGGCGGTAGCTTTCAGATGTTAACCTCAGTGTCATCAATTTGCGAAGAAAACTTGAGACTTTTAAAAAACCCGGAACTTTATTGGACATATACATTCAGATCTCTGAACATGATCATTTTTTATAATAATGCCAACAGTAATATATAAAGAGTACAAACAATGAATCTCCTCATAATATAATGTATCTTTTTGTCCCTGTTCTTCTGTCTTAAGTCAAAATATTCTCACTCCGTGATTAAATATCATCAATAGTTATTTTACTAAAAATTTTATGCTGTAAAAGTGCGAACACATTATGTTGTGATTTGGCTTATTCATACAGAATGAATTGAACAAACTTTTAATATACACAAATAAATATTTTTGATAATTAATAAATAATTAAATAATACAAACAATAAATGAGTTTTGGGCTATTGTCTTCTTGGTGGGGACAGAAGTTTCGGAAGAACGTATAAACTCCATATTCAGATAACAAATAAACTTTATACTGATAACAATTAATAATGTTTAAAGTTTTAAGTTTTAAAAAGTTAGCTTTGTTTCTACATATAATAGGCGTATGTATACGAATCGCTGATGCAAATGTTCAACATGTTGATACTAGTAACTTCTAAATTACTTGGTATTACGAAAAGCTTCTATCATGATGTACCAACATGCAAGTGCCATTTTAAACCCCTACTCTTCCATCCCTTATCAATTTGCCGTGCTGCTGAAAAAGCGTATTACCTTCTAAGTACTTGGTCTATACGCTGCTATAAGCTTTATATTGGATATTAATAGAAAGACGAGTGTATGTTTTGTAAGTTTGATAATTATTGACTATATGCGGTCAGCCAGTAAGTTATAGAGATTATAAGGGGTTTCTGGTTGGAGTATAAAGTTTGCCTCCACTACCAACGACGGAAAATCCGTCACCCCCTCCCCAACCCTCCTCAACTGAGCTAACCTTTTTTCTACAATATCTCGCACTCATTATGAGGAAGTCAGAACAAAATGTCGGAAAGAAATCGTGCCGGAAAAGCTGATAATCGTTTTGTACACGAGACAGAGGTTTTAAATGTTGGTGAGAGGATTTGTGGATAGAAGAGGGTTAAGAGAGCTTAGTACTTGAGCAGCGGTTTTATCAATTTGTGAAATAGAACAGAAAATGGTAGAGGAGGGTTTGGGAGCTCAGGAAAAGAGTGTCGCGTAGTCTACCGTGAATAAAGGGAACAGAGAATCTGCCAATTATTGGGTGATTGCATTCTTCTGCACATTGCGAAAAGGGGGAATAATCTACTCCAATGATCTTAGGAATTATGAAATATTTATAGACGTTTCAAGCAATGAATATTTACACACCAGAAGTACGGTTACAATTCTCATTTACTTCATATTTACAGCGTGTTTTGACCATAACATCCATCTTTTAAAATATACGATTGTCACATTTATTTGATAATTATAAATACTTATTAGTTACCTAATTAAACTTTTTGCCCTCTACGATATGTTTTCACAGCCATGACCACATCAGTTTTTTGGTTAAGTAATTGACTAATTAATAAACTAATTTTTAGCAGTCGAAGATTCAATGACTGTAGTACGAAAATCTTCTGTTGTAGAAATTTCTGAGCCACTTGGCTTTATGAATAAATATTCTAATAATCGGTGTAATTATCTGGTAAATCGCTTTATTTTAATTACTTTACTTTTGTGTACGTTTACATTGCTCTCACTTTATACTGCTTCATGACCCATCTATTTTACGTTACAATCACAAGACATATTGGACTTGTACACAAACACTGTGTTTAGTCACTTTTAGAACACTTTACATCACATCTATTTATGACGTTGTCATCCTAACCTGAATAATTCTGCCAGAACGCAGCTCCAGAGCCCATGAGGTCTAGACTGGAGTAGTTCCACTGCTTCTCGCTAGGTGGTTCTGGGACATGAGCGGGCTGCTGCCTCGGATATGAGCTCTCTGATTGGTCTCCGCCACTCGACACCCTGTGTTCACTCCCGCTCTCTGCTAAGAAAACAGAAATAGTTACATAAAAAAATTTGTGACTTAAAAGTTTCATATAACTTAAAATCCATCGTGTTTTGTGATTTCTAACTGTGTCCACATCGCATAAATTCGACCAAAGGTGATATACAACTGAAAGGTACATTGTGTGAAAAGTCCCAATTTTATCACTAGATGTTGCAAGTTTTATTTCATGAATATGAAGAAGTGTTTTCTTGAAGTGTCTAAATATACGCATATCATGAGCAATCTGACTGTGTCTGTATGAGTTCATATTACAGAATGTATTTGGGAACAAAGCTATGAGGAGAATTTTGAAACCTATGCAGAAGAAAGTAACAAGAAATAGGAGACAATTTCCGAATGACGAAATTTATAATTTTTACCCTCCATCAGATACTGTTAGTGTGTTGAAACTGAAGAGAACAGACAATTTTGAAGACCTAGTCGTAGATGGTAGGATAATATATAAATATTCATTCAACCATGTATTTTAATATATTGTACTTATTCTGAACTACATTCAAGAAGAACTAAAAATTTCCAGTTTACATTTCATCCATTTGCCCATCCTATTCATAGCTACGTGTCTTAACAAGAAAGTACCTGCTTATGCTACGGTTCTGTCAAGAAACTCAACTATTATACTATTTTAAATCGCAATATTCACGTGTCCATTCTTCCGTCCATTTTAGATTTGCACATTCTGCTATAAAATGGCATAGTTGTTAGAAAAGTGGTTATGTCCAAGACTCCCAAATATCAAAATGTATACTTGAGACCGAATCAATATTTACGAGGGCAGAACAGACTTAAGGGTTAATATAAATCATGTTACAGCATCTAGATATTAACATGGTAGGGTAATGGGAGGGTTATGTTTAGATGTAAGGGAGGTTTTCTCCACTTAAACTTGTCAAAGTCACCTAGCAAGCAAGATCCGGATGTAATAGGGTTGCTTTTGCTGTTTTAGTTTATAAACCATCTTGGTTTTGGTTTACTAAACGTCAATCAAACTTGTTTTCTCTCTCTGTCTTCCTTCAGCTGCAACTTTCCTTCTTGTTCGTTGGAAATATGTTCCTTACCTTGTAGCTACATCTTACATATACTTCTGTTCCAGACTTCATCATTATCATCTCCTTCCCTATCCCTTCACCATCTCATCTCTTATTTCCTCGCATGTTCAGGACTTCTTGTTCGACCCTGAGGGATCTTCAGTACATGAGTGGCTTTTAGTAGAACTTTCCTAGTCTAACGGAAATGAATCCTGGGTAATTTCAAACTTGTAACGTGGTAATTAGCTCCGAAGGTACATCTGATCTACAATACAAGTTTCTGCGGTAAACGCATCTTTCAGGGCTGCAATGCTGCCTTGGATGAACATATTCTTCACTTTGACTTGACTATAGGCTGAACGGCCGGAATTTGAACATCTTTATCTCAAGTCATCTTGTCTAAAACAGCTCTGAGGTCGAACTAGCCTCATATCAGGGCAATTTCCGTGTGATTGAAACTTGCAAAGAGTGAAATGATCTTACTATTAGAATCTATACACTGCCGAAGTTAAGAATATATAAAGCTATGTCTCCATGCCTTGTATGCGTCTTCTGGCGTGATACTTAATCACAAACAAAACCATGCTCCTTCGCTTGTTTAAACAATTATCATCTTTGGTTAACATCATTTGAAATTATGCGGAATTTTTGAAAACGTTAATGAAACTTCTGGTTGCATAACAGACGAGGAATGTATTGATAAACTGAGCGACTGTCAACTTATTAAAATAATTATTCTTTTTAAGTAATGAAACAGGTTAATGTACTGTAGTGGGCCACAGTCTAGAGCGACAGGGACAGAGGAAGGAGTTGTATAAGTGCGAAGATAAAATATCCTTGGCTGAATATAGACCATTAGATAAATTAAATATGCAAGAATCTTTAGGGCAATAATATAATTAAAGAAATTACTCCAAACAGAGGTATAACGTGAAGGACGTGGCCGAAGATAATACGGAATTATAAACCTTTAGGTCGGAATATATATGTTTATTTACTGACAGTTTAACGACGCGTCAATTAAGTTTGTTATACGGCGTCGAGTTATAATATTTAAAAGGATGTAAAATAAAGCTACTGTTGTCCAACTCCCGCTAAGCCTATATCTCAGTTTTTGCCTGGAGGGACTGAGCTAAATCTCAGGATAGCCATTCTCTGGAAATAAATATGAAACCGCGGCCTAAAGTAAGAGGAAGGGAAACTGGATGCTGGAAACTGAGTTTTAAGATCCATAAAGATAATCGGTTGCCTCTTACATGAATGAAAGTACACAAATTTTTCAATTGGAAATCTTATCTGCGATTTTATGAGTCATGTCCTACTGTATATTTTATCGCTGAAATACAAACGTGAATTTCAATAAAATGTGTTGGCTGGAGGAAGGCAAGGCTCCACTAATAGTTTCAGAGCTTATGTAATTTCGATGGAACCCACAACTACATTACGTAAAACTATTTTTTATCAATTTTCTTAAAAAATACTCGTTGTCTAAAGGTCAGAACATAATATAAAATACATATCTTATTGATAGGGTATCTGTAAATTTTAGTTGAAACTTGTTACGTGTAATAAGAAGGACTATTTATCAAAACACGGGTACAATTATGTATGATCTTGAACTTCCACGGCGACTGTGTACAATAAAATCCTCTCGGGCTATCATCCGCGTCAAATGAAGAGACCAACGTTTCGACGTCCATCTCTGTCCTCGTCCTCAGTACCCTAGTACCCATTACAATTAATTTATACTCTGTGAAGTGTGATATGTGTTGTATGTGATAACAGTTTTCTAACAAGAATAAATGTGTATAAAAACCAGTGAATTATACAGAATTATAAATTGATTGTTTGAAGAATAAAACTATCTTCGGAGTACACACTTATATTCTTGTACTGTTTAGCTACAACATAATTTCACGCATATTCGGAGACAGTCTGAAGATATGGCACGTGTACTTGCTTGTAATGAAACCCAGTTTACTTGGCTGTCACCTACAATACACAACCTACATAAGTTCTGGTATCAAGAATCGGTGCAGAAACCACTCTTCTCCCCTCCAACCCCCGTGTTACAAATCTCCCCATCATCTTTTAGCTGCCGAACCTGAGAATCCCTTCAGCATCTCACTCCACCCATTCACCCAGCTCTTTAATTACAAACACGCGTAAGATGTAATGAAGTTCTTAAAAGTTAAAAATTAATCCCTGCAAACTACGGTACGAAGGGACGAAGAAGTACAGGAGGTTTTGCTAATTTGCCTCCATCCATCAGACTCCTCTAGCAATATAATGCAACCTTCGTGTACTGTGAAGAGTAGCAAGGATTAGTAGGCGGAATTAGTGATTCATTTGTTTTAGCTCCACTTGTTTCTGTTTGCAAAAGTAAAGGAAATAATGATGGTGAGAGGAGTGGGAAGAAAGAGAGAGAGAGAGAAGGATGAAATATTAAAATTTAATAATAACTGATGATATAAACCCCTAAAATTCGAAGATTCTCCGTTGAAAGAAAATAGGCCTATGTGAAAATTTTAAAATAACTTGAAGCTTTAAAAATTAAATTCGCGGAATGCTGCAAATGGATATCTTAAATTGTCAGATAGGCAAGAACCTACAAGTTTCTTTGAATTTGTATTGCCACGTTCTAAATGCATATACAGGCTCTAGAACAGTGGCGATTATCGCCTTGATGATGGGACAGTAAATATCTCTGAAACGTAGGTCAACTTCCATGAGAAGACAGTCTTATACGTACTCGCAACCATGAGGACGTGAAATCTTACCCGGCAGAAAGTTATTAAAAAGTTTCCAGTGAGCTTGTCTTTAAATTCTTTTCTTACTCTTTTCGTCAGGGTTGTCCAATTACTTTCCGTTGAGAGGTCAAAAGCGACCGCGGGCAGGGAAGCCTCGCAAATAATTCTTTTGTGCAACGCCTCTTAACATAACTGCTGAAGAGAACTATAACATTTTAGAAGTTTCAGTAGTGAACTCAATTTATTATATTATATAATGACATATTTAGGATTACACTGCATCCTTTTAATAAAGGCAATTTCGCGATGCACTTACATAATTTTGACTTATTTTACTCAACCTCCTACGTAAAACCACTGAATTCTTGTACATTGTATTCCGTACCGGAATCCTCATCCGGTCTTTGAAACTTGCATTTAGATCTATTAAATCCGCCTTGTTCGATAACTCTCAGTTTGGCCACCAGATCGCAGTACCTGAATATCTGGATCACGAATTTCTTATTCTGTCGTTTCGATCGTAGGATATTCAAAATCACGATTCTGAGGTCGTGCAGAATAGCACAACGTACACAACAAATTTCATACATAACCGTCCAATGTTTTTCGAGTTGAATCGACTAAACGGATGGACAGACATGACCAGCCAGCCCATAACGCGTTCTCGCTATGCACTTCGTGCAAAGAACGCATTACAAGGATATTATTTTCTTCTCTGAAAGTTTTTGGAGATGGATTTCATTCATCATCGTCATAAAATTATTAAAATTCACTATGTTTACAAGGACAAATCTTCCTACGCCTTGGGGTAAAAATGGACGGGGTATACACCTAAGCGTTACATTACGATCTGTTGTCTTCTATTCTGGCTTTAAAATTTATTTGCTGCAGTATTTATTTTTCATTCGTTCGACTAATTTTCGCTTTGAAGTAAGTCGTCCGAGTACTCACCATTGAGCATGCGCAGGGCGTCAGCTGAGGCGCCACTGGCTTTGAGCGCTTCTTCCAGCTGGGAGCGCCTCTTCATCTCCAGCTCCAGTTGATCCTGGAGTCGCCTACGCGCCTTCCTCTCTTTCTTCAGCCGCTTCTGGTAAAGCACTGTAACCAGAAGAAAAGAAATATTCGACATTAATGTCGCCATATTCATTACAATTTATTACATTAAGTCCTTGATCAAACGCACCGAGAAGGCACGTTTTGTGCTCCTCGCCACAAAATAAAGGAGGATAAAGTAGCCGGAGCGTGTGTGAGACCTTAGCGTAGAAATTAACTTAATATTAAGCTGAACCTTCAATAAATAGGATGGGAGAATGTGGACTGGATTCTCTCGATAGGGTTCAGTGGCAGATTCTTGTGAACGCTGTAATGAACATAATGGTTACATGTCAACCAGTGAATTTCTTGACTAGGTAAATGAATATTAGCTTTCGCGTGAAGAAACATAAACCAACTGATCCTTGTAATGTTGACGAGTTGTCTTTGGTACAGAACTGGAGGATGACTACGAATATGCAACATGAAAGCATTTGAAATAGGAACCTGAATTAAGGTACTATCGCAGCATGACGTGAAATATTAACCCATTGAAGCCAAGAAGAGATAGTGAGGGATTATTACAAAAGAGTATAAATAAAGAGAAAATTGTAGGGAAGAAGTGAGAGACACTTTATTGTATTTCTGAGGGTGGGAAAAAGTGAATCTTTTGATAGGTTTGGCAACGCCCTCTCGTCCTTCTGGCAATGACAGAATAACAGTGAAGACGTTAGGGTGATAACGAGCTTGATGACAGAGACGGCGGAATTTTTATTTGCTTGTTAGTTAAAGTTGAAGCTATGCTCTGAAAAGTCTAGTATAATTTAGTGGCCTCCATAGCTAAGTGGTAAATTTTGATAAATTTAAGTCGTATAGGCTGCAAGAGAAACATGCGGTAGCAACTTGGACCATCTCAGCATTTTCGTAAAGACAGAAGAATTAATCTTGGCTCGAAAACATCTATATCTGTACTCGTGTATTTATTGTAAAATAAAATGAGTTCTGATATCGAAAAGCTCGTGCTGTTCTGATTTTCTGATTGAAGACAGGTTTAGCTCGGTCACCGCATGTAGCGGAGAATGACAAATAACTTCATCAGCAAGAAACGGCATGCCAAGGAAAATAACAGGATGGCCCGGGTTGACCACAAGTGATTACACTGATGCTAGCGACCCCATTAACACCAACAATAGCCACTCGAAACAATGCACAACCGCACAAATTTGTCTCATTCACCTAATGCACTAATTATTCCAACCCCCCCCCCTCCTTCTCCGGCCACTTGGATGTTTTCTTGCTAGTATTAGTACAGCGGAACCGTAGAAGGTTGGTCGGCACTTTCCTGTTATTTTATTTTCTCTTTAACAGAAGGAATAGAAGAAGAGGTTAGATACAAGGTCAGAAACCAATAATTTCGATGTAAGTTCTTTGTCGGAAAGAAAGTTATTTGGGTGGGGGTCCCCCCCTACTGTGGCTGCCCTTTCTTCATGCTAGGAGGGGCTGTAAATATTTGCTCGTGCGAACAGCAAAGCGAAGAAGAAAGAAGGAAACAAAAGGTGGACCACGAGAAAAGACCCATGTACCCAAGATCGATGATCATGAACATTATGGTTACCTAACCAACCGACAACCTTCTAGTTTGGGTAGCAATATTAAATGCTTCATGTCTGGGAAAAGTAAAAACATTGATATTCTGGGTCGAAACTTCAAAATTAGATATGGTTTATTCTGTGAATTTAATGGTTTGATAAAGACTTCTACTCCATTTCTCTCTCGCTCTCTCTGTCTGTCACTTCTACCTCACCGTAAGAATATATTTGCCTCTTACATGTTTTATGAACCGGCCTTGAATGCTATTGCTGTAGGAACCTCTATAGATTATTCTCGAATATAATACTCGTGTTTGATTTATTAAAAAATGGCGCTGCTTTAAATTTCACCAAAAGCTAAAGCCGGAAATGTCATTATTTGTTACATTTATTTTATTTTCTTCTAACTGAGATAACAAAATATATTTGTAATTAAAAACTTGGAATAAATTTTACTCATTATCTTCAATTAACAATTTACTCGACAAAGAATACATTTTCTATCTGTTCATCAGTCGGAACTAAAAATTTATTTAGATAGTGAACGGAATTAAACAAGCGTTAATACAAGAGAATTAATTTCGAAATTTATACAGCTGTATGAAAACTTAAAATTTCGTTTAAATTATTCTCTAACTGCTGTATAATTCCTTTTCAATATAATCCTCCAAACTTAGGGTATACATTAAATTCCTGCAACTGTGGTATATGGAACATGATTCTGAGGTAACACTTCATAAAAACTCCACGCTCTTTTCTTAAGAAACTATCTTGTCTTTGTAAATTTCCATAACAATAGATAATACCTATTGTTAAAAAGCTGAACATATTAAATTTTGACATCTAGCAGACATTTCTTCCATGAATTTATTCATACACAAAACAAATCCAGTCTGTAAGGGCCTCCAAAATTATGAAACTATATCGAAATGATCAAGTCATTGTTGCTTCAGAAGTATAAGAATTATCTTATAAGAATAAAAACAACAGACCAAGTAGATGCATCCCAAACATCATTGTATCCCCTAACATTTACAAAAATAAATAAATAAACAAATAGGAAGAAAATAAGTGCAATAAAATATGATATAAAGTTTCTGTAACCAACTAAGTATTTGTAATTTTTTGGGCTGTTATTGCCATGGGGCAAGGCGATACATCTTTAGTGTATTCCTGGAACCCCCCGCTGATAGATGCAAGCCCCCCTCACAGTTCACATCAGCGGGGGCTCCCCGTCTCAACATCCAATAAACGAGTAATCTGGACTCCACCATACATAACGCTCAGAAACATCATTTCACCGGACAAAAGAAGCCGTTAATATGTTTGGTAATCACACTGTCCGTCCGTCCGTCTGTCTGGTATAATAATTACCAATACCATATCAACAAATAGGCCTGGGCTCTTCAGACAACTAATCACTCAAGACGATTCCACTGTCGGCTCAAGAGGCCATTTTCTCTTCTTAATTACAAACCGCTGCCATTAAACCTACGTACGTGCATTAATCTATGAGTGTCCCAGCCAGTTTCTGGTCGACAGTTCAAAGCGTAGGTAAAAATAATCAAAATAACCACCAGCAATTAATTAATAGCTAAAACAAAGCACAAGTAGGACACACTTTTACTGCAACACAATTACCGATCATCTTGATCGAGTGGTTAGAACCACTGCTTCATAATTATTATGGCGTTCCCGGGTTCGATCTCGGCACAAAGACACTATTCTCGCAGTGACTATTTTGTAGCTCTACTTAGCTCCAACTGACAAACATTCTTTATTTTAAATGTCGATTTTGTCCCTTTAAATCACAGTATTAAATATATTTACAATCGGTTTTAATATTCAGTAACTCTTCGTGTTGCCCACTGGGTTTTTGTACGATTTTGATAATAAAGAGTTATTATTTTAATTTTAAGTAATTAATATTTGAAATGGACAAGCTTTGTGATTTGTTTGACGTGGGAACTAAATCGGGGTCACAGTGGCAGCGCGGTCTGAGGCGTGTGCCGCTTGGTCACTGGGACCGTGGGTTCGAATCCCACTCAAGCCATGGATGTTTTGTCCGCGTCTTTCTCTGTTGTGCTGTCCTGTGTACAGTAGAGGCCTTGCGACGGGCCGATCCCTCGTCCAAGGAGTCCTACCGAATGTCTATAGATCAAAGACAACGAAAAGTTGGGACCCGCAGTGCTCAGGCCAAGTCCAAGTAGGAATTAAATCTTAAATATTGTATAGATCAGCTGCCTACTTCAAAATGTTGGTTAAAGAATTAATCATGTAAATTTATGTTATCTAACTAATTCATGTTCATTTACTCCATACTTCGTTACCTCAACTACATAAGTTCCCGTCTGAAGCCTGATAAAGAATGGGAACATGATCTTGAATGTTATGAATTAGAAACAATGTGGAATTAATTGGTCATGCCAGTTTTAAGATACGATCCCTCTTTGTACGCTGAGGAACTGAGGAAGAAAGACTTCAAGGCCTGGAATTAAATTCTGGAATACGAAGCAGTAAATCTAAAGCTAGATATTAATTAGATCGTGGTATTCGTTTGAACAAATTTAGGTGAATGAAACAATATATTTCAATGTCGAAATGTGTATTTTGACTGTGTCCTGAAATACTCGTTATCGAATCTCGGTCTTCGCTTTCTTTACGTTAATTCAGCGTAGACACAGGCCTATTGTCGATAGAACTGTAAAGTAGAATTCTATCTACACTGAGCCGTAGATAGTAGGTCTGTTGATAAAGCAGCTTCTCAGAGCCATAAAATCAAACGTTGCTGCCGAATGGCTACCATTTCTGCTTCACATTTGGGAGGTTCCGTGTTCAAATCTTGGAACGAGGAAGGGATATTCTGTCTGAGATATTTCGCTATTATCCCCAGTACTTCCACGTCAATACTGGATAGTATCTTAAATTAGACAATGACCACTTCTTTCCACACTCATTTAATTTAATTATCAGCTAATAATATTTTTATTAATGTAGGATTTGAAGTTCTCACGGTGGTGAAGTCGAAAATGGTTGTCTTTTGGGTTAACAGCCATCTTCATCTTATCGTATCTTAATATAAAGTACACACAACCTTCATATTTATTAAAAGTTTTATGTGCAATTTTATATACAGATAAACCTTAGTGTGCATTGAATATACTAAACAAATCACATCAAACACATCACCGATTAGTGGTACATAGTTTTCTTTCGTATTTAATTAAACGTTTCCAATACCGAAGAAATTATTCAGATGCTAGATATAGAACACACCGAGGTCTACAGCTCATGTTATTACTAAATTCTCTTACCGTATGTTCTTTATCCGAAAATCGTTAAAGTCGATTTTGAGCTTCATGAAGAGGTGTAATGTAGGATAGGGGCCAATATAGAATTCATCCAACAATTAGGTGTTACTGTAGACTCATGACGGAATCAAAATCCAGTTAATATTTTCTGAAATGAAAACTGGAA